ATTTAATTTTAAAATTATACATATTATTTATGCAACTTTAATGAAAAATAATGAGTTCCTAAACCGTTAGCTCAGATACCACATGTAAACTATAATAATTCGTGTTAAGCCATTAATCACAAATTTACATGAATCTCATATCTTAGAACTTCATGATTTTCACATATCTATAATGCATAAATAAATAGTTAGATATAAATACCTCGATTCATGATATCAAATCTTGTTGAGATTAAATCCAACGTCCAGATCCTTTGGTCACGAACTAATTTGCAACTCTGATCAATAGGCAAAGGTGGAAACTGGTTTCTCTCTCTTGGCCTTTTGTACACATAAAACTTTTACGTGTTGTATCATTAATTGTACATAATGGAGTATATACACTTTTATAAAGGCAGAGAGGACCAGTTTTCCTTTTAGTAATACAATTCTACTTTCCATCAAAGTAAAGAATAAGAAAGGAAAACGCTTTTCCAATAAGTAATTACCAAAAAGGTAATTATAAGTTGACCAGATAATATAATATTAATCTGATATTTATTTACTTAATCATTAAGTAATATGTCATATGTCACGTGTCCAAATCGTGTAGGCCACAATTAAATAAATAATCTTACACAACCATCATCAGTACTCCTCCACGTGAAGAAGACAACGACTCGACCAAGTATCTATCTGCAGTACTACCACCAATATCTACCGAAACCACCTCCTCCTGGTACGAATTACAGTCAATATCAAACAAGAGACGTCGAAGCACACCTAAATCATCAACTGCATAGAAATGACCCTTGTAGAAGAATGGCTTCAACAGGTATGTTGTCAGAAGTAAAGAGGGACGACCACTTCCTGTCTCGTAATCCATAAAAAGCCAAAAAAGGTGAGCAAAGATCGTATGCATAGATGATGCAATTGGGATCAGAAGCAGTACATGATGTGATGAATCTAAGTCGCCAACTTGCACACAGTGGACGTGGAGGCTCTCGAAGCTTGACTATGGTTGTTGAATAGGGATTGAAAAGATATAGTGGTGTTTCTTCATCAATGTCAAGAGGAGAAGAAAAGTGGGACAATCTAATTTCACTGATTTTATACTTTGATGGTCGTGGAACAAATTTCTGTAGTTGAAGTTGAAACAGTAGTAACCAACCACGGTAGGACGAGAAACATGCATGGGATTGAACCAAAATGAAACATTTTGGGGAAAACAAACTCCTTGTCCTTGGTGGTTTTGGTTGTGCTAGCTATGATGGATTTAAGATTACATAGGAGTAGTACTGGCCGGAGGGAATGCATGGCTATTACCACAAAGCTTCCGAGCTGCGCGCAGCAGATCGCCATGAATGACAGACACCGCGACATCGAGCGAGATCAGACAAGTCCGTGAGATGTTCCAAGATCAAGTCCAGCAATTCTTCTGGGAAGTGGGAGGGCCAAAAAAACTGTGCTTCAGATTCTACTGAACACTTCACCTTTAGGTGACTAATCAATTTTTTAAAAACTAAAGAAGATTTTTTAGGCATTGTCTTCTTGGGTGAGATCGAGAGACTACAATGCCTTCAAAGTTGGAGGTATTAGGGTTAGGGTTTGAGAGGGGGAAGAGACAGATGAAGAATATGTACTGTTTTTTAAAGAGATGATATACGTCTGCGAATTAGATTCACGCGGTAACTTACACTCTGTTTGGAATGGTGGTGGGATTTGATGAGATTTGGAATTCAAAATAGAACTAAAAGGAATATATTTTTAAAATGGAAATGAATTTTTAATGGGATTTGAAATCTCATAATTAAATTCCTTGTTATACAGTAGTTCCTTAATATGTGATTGCAACTGGTTTATAAAACACTCGCTTTAACGGAAGTGTTAATCACCACCCCTGGTTGATGCCCTTATTGAGATTGGTTAAGGATCTCCCAGGTTTAATTTGGTAAGAGTGCACCCACCCCAATTAATAATAGATATTCTTTTATTAACTATAGTTCATTCATTTCTTAATTAGGATCATTTTAAATTTTAACAAAAATTTTATTATTATAATTGTCAAATATTTTACTATTTTTAATTTTTTTTTACAAAATTTATTCTAAATTGGTTCAAAGTTTGCATTATTTTTCTTAAAAATATATATATCAGGACAAATTGAACTCACTGTTGACTCTAATGCAGGGCGAGTTTGGAAAAAGAATGTCCTAACCCGTCCCAATGACATCCCTAAGCTCACCATACCTGGAGGATTTTAATGGTACAATATGGACTCTGATTGAAACTGCTGATAGGTATGCATTTTTTTGGCAAGTAAATGTATTAATAGAGGAAACTGTGCAAGAGGAGAAAGACCAAATAGCCTAGCATACAAGCCACAAAAGGGCTAAACAGCCTAACTAAAAGCCCACCCACCCACCCAACTAAAAGCAACAACAGAAGCAGATTTCAGAGAAGCAGCAAAAACTCAGAGCAGCAACAGAGAGTTTGCATCTACAGTCCTCAATTTATTTGCAGATATCCTCCACAGTGAAATGACAACCCCAACAAAATATAATTAAGGATTGGGCTATCCAGTTAGCGATGGCCCGAGTAAATCCCATGTTTATGCGGGAAAAATTGCCATACTCTGTTTTGAGCAGGAGCAATTAAAGAAAATGTGGTCATGGTCTTCATCTTCTCTAAAGCATAACGAAGAAATACTATTTACTGTACAATTGTTTGGGAGATAATTGTACAGTAAAAAAAAGAAGAAGGCAAAGCTGATTACCATTATGTAAGCCAAATGCAAATGATTTGTATAAAAGCTTAGTTCACCAAAATGTATTATGGGTGCTTTTAAGAGGTCGATAGACTCTCTGATACTACTATTCTCTAAAGAAAATATATATATAATGCACACATGCACTTTCAATTAATAAGTTAAGTCAAATAAAACATTTAAACAAATAAAATATTTAATTAATTAATTTAATTAAATACGTAATTAAATAGTCAAATAATTAAGTAAATAAATAAAAATACAATTAAAATATTTTAAATAATACTACGACTCTCCTTTTAAAATTAGGGATATTACAATTAGCTTTCACCACCGCCACCTACACCTTTATCTCCTTCCACCGCCACTATCACACTACTGCCATCGTCTATCACCATTGCCACCACCACCGCCGCCTTCCACCATTGCCACCACCACCGCCTTCCAACACTACCACCTTCACCACTACCGCTTTCCTTCTCCACCACCATCCACCACTGCCACTGCCACTATTTATTTTTAAAAAATTATTAGAGAATGTCATTTTGTTAATTTAATTTTTTTGTTACTAAGATAAATATTTTGGAGAATTTAATTTAAAATTTATTCAATTTTTAATTTTAAATTGGTGCAACCAAATACTAGAATGGTTATTATAATTCCATTCCTACACATTTCACATTCCATTTCCATTCTCATTATATTCCCACTTGTATTGTATTCCATTCCTGCATACTAAACGTAGCATTAGAGTTATACAACTTATACTTAATGAAAAATCAGAAAAAATATTTCAGAAATAAGAAGAAAAAAAAAAAAAAACAACAACGAAGATAAAAGTTAAAATAAGAATATGAAAAGTTTTTATTTTTTATTTTCGTGTAACTAATGTTATTAGTATTTTTTTTCTTTGCTTTTCTAAACGAAGTCTTAAAGTTTTAACCTGTTGTATAAATAAATAAATAATCAGCAAAAGTGAATTAACCAACCGTCCCTAAATTTTTATAAAGACAAAGTAAAACACCCAGACAAATTGAGAGAGAGAGGGAGATGGGGAAACAAATAAAAACGGAAGAGTGAAATTGTAGGGAAAAGAAAAATGGTGGAAGTAGAAGACTGATAATTCTATGTATGTTGAGCACTCTGTTTGCCTAGTTTGGCTAGTTTTTAATTTTTTTCTAATGTAACGAATGTCATGCCATTATAATTTATATACGCCATTAATACTACACCAACCAATTTAATACTGACCTCTACAATTTCCTCCAGCATATTATCCCCATCCAATTCAATACCGACCTCTACAATTTCCTCTAGCATATTATATTTCATTGCCAACCAAAATTAAGCATTCTTTCAGGTCCCACTAGTTAATTGAACACAATTAAAATGAACCACTTAACCTTTATAGTGAATGCAATTTAACATTACATACAATTAAACATGAAATTTGTATTCTCATTTTGGTGTTCGGGGCTCTGATTTGATGTCATATGCTTGTTTTTGCCCTCTCCCAGGCCAAACCCAATTCCAACCACTTCATGCCCTTACTTGAGTTAAGAGCGAATCTAGGGGTGGATTCAACGCCACCAAAGCCCACCAAATTTATTAGAGGTAATTTTAGTCCAATTAAAAAAATATAAAAAAAATATTTAGTAGTATTAGCCCACGTCAGAATTATTTAACACGCTACATTGTGCATTTCTGAATCCTCTCCTGGACAGAGGCTTAGTGACCAAACCCGGCAAAAAAAGGGAATTAGTTTTTTTTTTTTTTTTTTTTTTTTTTTAAATATTTTACCGTACTTCATTATTTTTTTTAGTTTTTTAAAAATTTACTTTAAACCGCGTCGTTTTCTTATGACGTCAAGCTTCTCTCTCTCACACACAAAACTTTTGTTATCCATTGCTCTCGTGTCTATATGCCGTGATATTCATGTGAAAAAGCAGCCATGGGAAGGAAGCGGAATCGATCGGAAAAGGGGAAGGGGAAGGGGAAGATGGAGAAGCAATCTGTGGCGGCGTCGTTGACGTCGTAGCTTCCAGAGGATGTGATCGACGATATTCTCTCCCGACTACCGGTGAAAGATCTACATTTCAGGTGCTTTTCCAAACAATGGTGTGCCCTAATTGACTCACCTAGGTTCATCAAATTACAACTAAACCGATCACTTGAAACTGGAACGAATTTGAGTATAATTTATAGAAATGTTTCTATAATATATTCAGTAGACTTAGATATGCTACACGTAGATATGCTGGATGGTGTTTTGAAGATTGGTAATAGTATCCCTCGTCTAGATATGGTAAAATCTGACGACTATCGGACTACTGCAGAAGGTTTTTGCAATGGTTTGATCTGTTTGCATCGATTCATGTGTGCAACCATTACTTTGTTAAATCCGTCCACCAAGGAGTACAAAATTTTACCTCCAGTGCCACGTCGCAGTGGGGGTTTCCACGCACATGGAATAGTGTATGATCCCGTGGGTGATGATTACAAGGTTGTTAGGGTTGTGCTGGTCTATGAGGATCCGGATCACGCTTCGTCCCAAGTAATGGTTTATGGTTTAAGATCGAGTATGTGGAGGCGGGTATGCGAGGGCTTCAAGTATTTCCTTTATTGGCCTCCTGAATCTATGAGAAATCCCGGTGTGCTTGTTGATGGTGCTTTGCATTGGTTGGCTTGTAGAGATCAGACAGATTTGTTTGACATTGCTGTTGGTTTTGATCCCGTGGATGAGGAATACTGGGTAATAGAGGTGCCAAATGTTTCTAGTGTTTGTTATGGGACCTTGGGGGTATTGGATGGATGTTTGTGCATACTTTATGCTATTAATGAACAAGAAGCTTTTGAACTATGGGTCATGAATGATTATATGGTGGAGGAGTCATGGACAAAAGTCTTCACCCTAATGTTAACGGTGCCAAATCTCGACAGCATGTATGGCACGCAGTGTGCAAGGGTTTTGGCTTATTCTAACAACAGTAGGGAAGTTTTCTTGTTGTATATGTTTGGTAAATTAATGTGGTATTACCTGAAAGAGAAGAGGGTCATCGATCTCGGCATTTGTGCAATTGCTGCGGATGTTAATGTGAAAAGCCTTTTTAAGCTCAATCATTATCAGTGATTTGGCTTTCACTAATTGTTGCTGTGATTTATGAGGATGTTTGGTTTTGGGGGAGCTGGTAAGTTTCCACCGAAGCATGATTCTCTTATGGCGCCCATAAAGGATTTTGGTATTCCTAGAAAATCTATGATTTTTATTTTATTTTATTTATTTATTTATTTATTTTATGAGTAGAATATGTTTCAACCTTGTGATCATGGCTTGCACCTTTTGTTGATTAGCAAACCCATTTGTGCTTTTAGGTTTGCTAACTTGTTGTATCAGAAATTAGATTCTATTTTGGTTGAGACTCAAAACATATTTTGTTAATTATTTACATCAATGAAAATAGGTCCATACAGCAGACAAGTAACGCTACTCTTCAAATATTATGTATATTTTATGGTAACAGGGATCTGTTGCTTTTTGGGTCGAGAATTGATTGACAATAATTTGGAGAAATAATGTCAAAGGTTATATTACAACAAAAAGAGGCTTATAGTGGTGGTCATAAAAACTGATGTTCTATGCTGTCTATGCTGATGTATTTTTTTCAGGTGCTGCTAGAAGTTTTAGGAAAAGCTCAAAATGTGTTTTAGGAAAAACACAATGGACATGTGCTTGAGTGGCCCCATATGACTGAATGTCAAGATTTTATTATTTGGTGATATTGTTATAGCAAAATGATATAATATCATTTACCATTGTTGTATTAAAAAAATTCCCCCTTTTCCTCGTTGTAATAATGGCGCAAAACCGTAAGTATATTGTTCATGGTATATATTTTGTGTTTATACTATCTGATTCAATGCTAGTTAAATATATATTATTTTCTTCCATGTTTTCATATTATTGTGTTTCCATGCCTGTTGAACTTGATAATATGCTGTCCAAGGTTGAACTTCTTACCAAAGGCAGAAGAGTTGCATGTTACCCTTGATTTAGGGACATGCTATTTGACTGCTATATGCTGAGAGAGTTGTAAAAAGTGTGTGAAAGACAGAAGAATGCATTAAGTCTCTTACTTGATAAAATATTGCATACATAAAACTTTAGGCAGAGTTCATCTTTTCTGGGATGGAATTTGTGGCGTCAAACCTTATTGACTAGCATTCAGTAACACCGGGAGGAAGAAATTCAAACTCCATTCTTGGGGCATCATCTTGAGACCCTGTAGCTATAGCAGCCCAACTAGGATGGTTGTCTCTTGTCTGGCCAAAGTTAGGAATGGGAGGGTCATTGGGTTTGTAGGGTATGAAATTGTTTCAAATATATGGACCATTATGTCTTACTAGTAAAAACAATTACACCATTTTCTTATTGACTCTTATTCACGGTTTATTCCTTTAAAAGCTTTGATATGTGGGCAGCATCTTCTTAACTTTCTGCGCACTTGTTGACAGAGTGCTTTTGATTTTAATCAAAATATTGGTAGAGGAACTAGTGCATTTTAATGAACCTAATCTGAATGTCATACTTTCAAGTTTCTTCTATGATTATTGTCTAAAATTCTTTCATATTCACCCCAATTTAGCAATAAAATGTACACGCGCCACACCAACTGTGTCCATGTCTTGACCTAATTAAATGAAATCTAGACTTTATAGATTTGTCCATTTTCAACCTCATGACTGTAGATTTGAACTGCTTGTGCTCATGTCCACTCATCATATGCTGATTAAAATTGTCCATTTATTTTCTTTATTTCTTTTTCGCAAATTGATGATGTTCATCAAAATTTATTGTATTAAGGTGCCAGCTAGCTAGGTAACAGGAGTCTTTTCTTTTTACCATTCCTTGGTTCTTTACTTTATTTCCCGAACCTTCAATCTCATAATTGACTTTTTAGGTAAGTTCTTTTCTTCTGCTCGTCATTTGAGATACAACATCTCGAATGTAACGTCACTCATTTCAAAGTTTGTTTTAGGCTTTACAAATATTAAATTTCCTCATATTCAGCTACTATTTGTTGTTTTCTGGGAACATTCTAGCGGGAAAGACTGAGAGTCAATATCCATTGGTATCTTCATGTTTATTCTTGTCTATGTGCTTAGGGTGTGTTATGCCCCTTACGACTAGTATTGCCACAGTTTTTCAATCAATCAATTTGATATATAACAAAGTCAGTATTTAGGAATTTATGCCATGGACATAGTTTTTTATTTTTATTATTTTATTTTATTTTTTTATTTTGTAATTTCTTGTTACAGTCCTGCTCAGTAAGAAATATTGAACTTGAATTTATTTATTTTTTCTTTTCCCTTCTGGTTGGAAAATAGAAGGAAAGAAAGTTTCTGCTCAAATACAGAGGAATTAAAGTGGATTCAATATCCAATTGCATTATTTGTTCTTTCTTTAATATTCTTTTTCACCTCTCGCATTGGTTAATGATAATGTACAAATTTTGATCATATTTTGCAGTCACTAACCCCAAGCAAAGTCTCTTCCTTTTTCTACGTACATACCCTTTGAAGAAGGTTTGCAGTTTTATAGCTTATCTCGTTGTTATACATGCACACACACATACATTATATATGCACAAATAAGGAAACATCCCCCTATTTGTTCAATGTCTTCTACTTTGGCTCACTAAACCCCATACTGCTTGTAATTGATGGCTACCATTTTATGTATATAGTGTGCACTTGAGTAGTACAAGCCAAGGGAAATGAGCAATGACCAAAATTTTCATTGTATTTTCTTTAGTACTTGGTGGCTTCGTCAACTAGTTATAGTTGATTCAACAAGGAGAAAGTTGAATTGCATTGTTTTGAGCATGAATTTGTATTATCTGTTGGAGCTAATTAAAATCAACTTGAATTGCATTGTTTTGAGCATGAATCTGTATTATCTGTTGGAGCTAATTAAAATCAACTTGAGGGGTTGAGAATTTGTAGGAAGCGTTTCTCAACGTATCCAATCTTAATACGATCCTAATTAATCAAAATGGGAACTTTCAGCCACTTTTTATACTGCATATGGATGTGTTTAACCAGAAATTACACATTATTGATGTATCTAATAGGTGGTGACTATGGATGGAGAGTCATTCCACAAGTCAAATGTGTTCATGGAATTTGTGCCCTAACACAGTCATCTTATGCTGCTCTTGATGGAATTCTCTACTGCAAGCATCATTCCCTCAGAGAAAAAGTGCCCTGGGGAAGTAGAGTCAACTGAATTTACAGAAATTTCTATCCTCAGCAAACCTTTTTATCATGATGAAATTTCATATTTTAGTGCTCACAATATATTTTGGAGTTTGTAAATATATTCAAGAGGTTATTTATAATTCAGAAATGCAGGCATTATGTTATATATATTTTTTTTATTCTTTTGCCAAAAGCTTAATGCAGTTTGTTTCTCCTTGGTCATATTTGATTTCTCCAAATATTCTAATAAAAATAATAAATTGTAATTATTGTGTAATAAATTAAATTTATTTTTCGGTAATCAAAAACCATTTCACAATCCAGGGTCAATGAGACACCCCATCATTCTGCCTAAGAATCGCCTGAAGGCTACACGCAACCAAAAGAAATAGCAAAAACCGAAAAACCAGGCCCAATCAGGATAGCTGCATCCACAGATATCTCCATTGATTCTGTCTAATCATAATTTCCATTGAGTGCCAACTATAATATCATGATTAATTTGCAAGTCCACAAGGAAGCCAGAAATCATGCCACAAAGAGATGTCTTTGCCGTTACCCACCATATGCCTGATGAAAGGTCTGGCCAAACCTCTAAGGTGCAAAATCATCCCCTAATTCCACGAATTCAGGTTCAGCTGAGGACTTTAGACTCCAAAAACTGAGAGGTTCTCTCTTTCACCTAATAGACTACTATCATTTATCCTGCAAAAGGTTCCATATGTGTCTCAACAAAGAGATTTTATTAAGAGTAGCAAGCCTTGGAAGCCCAACACCACCATAGCATTTAGGATTGCAGTAATAACACATGCAATAGGTTTAAGATAAATCTTAAATAAACGCAATGCATCAATCCTATGCTGCCGGGTAAAACCATCCACAATATGGAACACCCATTTGATAGGAAAATTTATTTAATAGTTGAACCCTATGATTTCCCAAGTCATACAACCCAATTTCCATCACTTCACTTGATGGATTATTAAATAAATAGATGGTGTTCTGCCTATATTCATGACTATGGACAAGCTTAGATTCGGACTGAGCCAATAAGAGGGCTTGATCACCCAAGCTACTAACCTCTTCCCATTTACCATTGCTCCAATCCAACTTGTAAATCTCAAACATTTTGCTTATTTCAGGCCACTGCCAATAAGAATTAGCAAGCCTTTCGATGATTTCCCTATCATGATAACCACTCCTGACAACCATCATCAGTTCACCACTAGACGAAGACGTTGACTCTACCAAGTATATGTGTGGAGGAGTATCTGTGGTAGTACTCATGACCGATACCACCTTCTCCTCGTAAGAATTACAGTCAATATCAAACAAGAGACGTCGAAGCACACCATGATGATCAACTGCATAGAAGTGACCCTTGTAGAAGATGGCCGCCGCAGTAGGCCTCTTTCTGGAATTGGCAGAGAGAGACCACCAGTTTCTGTCCCTGTCACAAAGTCTGCTGTTGGAATTACAAAAGAGAGACGACCACTTTTTGTCTCCTAGTCTATAAAAAGACACGGCATCGGAAAGACTGTATACACAGATGATACAGTTGGGATCAGAAGCACTGTATGATGTGACGAATCTAAGTTTTTCAAACTTACACAGTAGCGGTGGAGGTGGTGAAAGCTTGACTAGGGTTCTTGAATAGGGATTGAAAAGATGTAGTGTTGTTGTTTCACTCCTATCATGGGAATAAGGAGAAGAAAATTGGGACAATTTAATTTTACTGGTTTTATACAGGTTTGCTATTTCAGAACTGGTTTTGCAAGGGACTTTGTGGTATTGTAGTAGTAGCCATCTGTTAGCCCCTTGACGGTTGTCCAGGGGAAGACATGGGCATTTCAAGGCCATGCCATGCCTTGGGAATACTTTGGTGTTGGTTAGACAGCCATGAGGATGCTCAGTGGGTTGTCAGCGTGCACAAGATGCTCAGCGTGCACACAGGATGCTTAAAAGGATGCTCGGCGTGCACTGGGGGTGCCCAGTGGCACTTTCGTAAATATGGTGAAAAATGAAACTTGGAGTTTTGACTCGGGATCTTTATGGGAGGTACCTTGAGTCCATAGAAGCTGGTTGGCGCAGACGACACTCAATTTGGATGTCGGAAAAGGCTTGAAAGGCCATTATGACTCCTCAAGTATGAGTGATATTTACTTCTGTCAGAGTGCTGGATTTCCTTAAGACTATACTAGGGAGGGGTCTGTTGAGCACATCGGTTGGGCTATGGTATGGCTTGCTTCGAGGGTTTAGCCAACGTACATGGGCACGTGTTGCACCACTCCAAGATGGTTGCACAAGTGGGGAGCATCCAAAATATTGAAGGGCAAACAAGTGGGCACCGATACGCGCGCTGGTGTGCAGCGGCGCGCGCGCGGGCGTGTAAGTGGGCGCGCGGGCAGGCGTCCAACCTAGTGTACGCAAGCGTCTAGCTCGGCGTGCGTGCGAGCGTCCAGGCGGGTGTACAGCCATGGGCGCATGAGGGTTCAAACATGGCGCTCGTAGAAGGGCACCAGTGTGTGCGCCGACGTGCACTTTGGTGTACACTCGAGCGTGCGCATGGGCGTGCATGGTTTGGCACGCCGTACACTCAGAAACATATATATGTGGGTGCAGATTGGTGGACTTGGCTTGGGCTAGGTTCACAAGGTTGACTCAGATGTGGCTAGAGCATGGACCACACAAAGTCATGGCTTGTGGTTACAAGAGGTGGTGGCTAAGTGGACTCGGTCGGTTGGGGGAAGTTACTAGCACTTCCCACTCATCATGGGAAGTGGGGGAGCGCTGAGTAACCTCCCAAGCATGTGGCACAATTCTGAGAGACCAACACACAGGCGGTTAAGGGTGGTTTCTTCCATTATGCAGAATGTAACTTCTTGTGGTTATGTGGCATGAGTAGAACATGCCAACAAGTCTAGCAGTTGGGCTTGTCAACTGCATTATAGTGTTGGCACATTTAGAGGGTGCCAGCACGACCCTAGGTGGATGGGAGTGTCATCCATCATCTTAGTGGGCAGTTATGAGCAGTTTTGAGAGTGGCTTATATAATGCTAAGGTGGGCTTTGTAAAGGGAACAGAGAGGAGGGGGTGAACCTTGGTTCTTTGTACGAACTCATGTTCCTTTTTAATATGTTTAATATGAGTAAAGGTTGGGGCTTGTCCCTGTAAACTGTGTGTGCCTTCTTTACATTTCTATACTGTATATATTGTGTTGTAGTGTTGGCTGAGACTTGGTGGCCCCAAGTGCCATTACAGAGGCAAAAATTCATGGTGTAATTTAGCCCTGTAACACCATCCATGGTAAGAAGAGACGCATGGGTTTGGACCAAAAGGAATTAACATGTTGGGCATGCAGAAATCAAACTCTCTGGTTGTTAGGTATAGTTTAGGGGTGTGATAATCTTTTGATAAGATGATTGTGCTAGACTTACATAGGAATAATAATGGAGGAAGTACATGGTTATTGCCACATAGCTTCCGACCAACAGCAGATCGCCATGAATGGCAGATATCGTGACATAGAATGAGATTAGACAAGTCGGTGAGATTTTCCAGAATCAAGTCCAGCAAATCTTCTGGGAGGTTGGACCAAGATGAATACTTTACTTTTTTAGTCTCAGAACAATGTATCGTTAGGTCATTGAGCAATTCATTTGGGAAGCCCGAGGAAGATTGTTTAGCCATTGACAACAGCGAATACGGTAAGGGGAGTAGAGAGAGAGGGATTTTGGTGGTGGGGGTTTGAGAGGAGGCAGTGGAATGAACAAGCAAGGAGTGGTCGATTATTAGGGTTAGGGTTTGAGAGGGGCAAGATAGACACTAACATGTCCCAATTATAAAAGATGCAAAAAAATATATAAAAGTGGCCTTTTAATATAATATATATATATATATATAGTCAATCCAATTAATCTTAGAGTTATACAATTTATACCTAATGAAAAATAAGAAAAAATATGTTAAAAAAAAGAAAAGAAAAAGAAGAAGTTAAAATAAGAATATGGAAAGTCTTACAAATTCAGGAGAAAAAATAAACGTGAATGAGGAGCTGAAAAAAAATAAAATAAAAGTAAAGATTGAAATCTTTTGGCCTCTATATCTCTATTGATTATGGTTTAATAATTGATACAAATAAATTTTTTAAGGAGGTTATAATATAAGGAAATAAAAAAATTGGCGCCTTTCTATTGAGCAGAGTTTAATAATTAAAAAGAAATAATATTTTTAGGAAAGTTATAATATAAACAAATAATTTTTTTGAAAGTTATAATATTAAGGAAATACAAATTTTAGGGCCTTTATATTGGTTGGAGTGATAATAGGAAGGAAATAAAAATTTTAGGAAGATATAACATGAAAAAATAAAAAAATAAAATTAATTTAGGAAAGATATAATATAAAGAAATTAAAAAATAATAATAATTTTAGGAAGGATATAATATGAAGAAATAAAAAATAAAAAAAAAAATTAGGTCTTCCTATTGGCTAGTGCTTTAGGCAACTGCCTAAATCTCCTAAGGGCCCAGTCGCCCCTGGGTGTCACGATTGATTAGTGCGCCAGACCTTAAACCTCTTTGAACCCTGAAAGTTTGATTTTGGCAGGCAAATTAATTATATGAAAAGAAAAAAAAAAAAATTGAAAAAAATTTATATTTATTTACAATATGAGTCTTAACTTATTATCAATCAAAAATATTGCATAACCATTAATGTTGTGTTTGGTAGACCAAATAAAACGGAATGCAAAAGATTATTCTTCTTTTATTGTTTGGTTGTAATGGTGGATGGTGACTATGGTAGTAGAAGTGGAAAACAACAGTGGTGTAGATGGTGGTATTAGAAGGTGGTGTTGGAATGATGTAGGACAGATTATTAATTAGATTTTTATTTTATTTTTTTATAGTTTAATTTCTTTATATTTTTAATTTACATAAGTAACTAGTTTCCTTTAAGATATTAGGATTTCTCTATTATAAATATTCATGCATGCAAGAGTAGAATTTAACATTTTATCCATAATATTTTAAAATTCTTTATAAATTTATCTCTTATTTTACGGATTCAAAACATCCTACTTTATAAATTCAAATAACATGTTCCTTATGAACAAATTCCTTGTTCCATAGTTTCTTTGTGGCTTTTGGGCCTGCTTTGTATTTGAGTTTTGCTCTCCAGTTAGCTCTGGGCTAGCATTGGGCTGATGTACTCCTCTTTGCTTTTAATGAATTTATCTTTACCTATCAAAAAATAAAGAAAAGAACGACCAAAATTTTCATTGTATTTTATTTCATAGTCGGCTTCTTCAACAAGGAGAAAGTTTAATTGCATTGTTTTGGGCATGAATCTGTTGGAGCGAAAACCTACTGACTGTGTAGATACTGAAGTTTGGGGGATTGAATTTGTAGGAAGCATTTCTCTACGTATCCGGTCTTAATAATTCAATCCTAATTGATCAAAATGTGAACTTTCAGCCAATTTTTATACTTATATATGGATGTGCTTAACCAAAAATAACACATTATTGATGTATATAAATTATATAATATGTGATTATGTATAATTCACAAATGCATGCATTATAAAGGTCACTCTTTTTTTATACTTTGCCAAAAGCTTAATGCAGTTTTTGGTTTTAGTAATATTCTAATAAAATCAGTGGCCTAGCGGTACTAAATCCCTGTTTCTCAAAGAGAGGACAGGGATTCAAACCTCAGTAGAGGCTTGTGTGTGTGAGTACTAAATCGGAAAAAAAAAAAAAAAAAAATTCTAATAAAACTAATAAATGGTAATTGTTTTGTTGTTTGTAAAATTAAATTTATTACAACCAATTTATGATAATATTTTCCGTCCCAATTTACGTGTCCCTTTTGGGAATTAATAATTTTTAAGGGAACATGTATTGTCTACCTAGAAATTACTAACTTTTTATTTTCTTTGAAAGTTAAAGGTTAATTTATTAATAATAAAAGAGTATATACAAGCCCAAAGAAGTTTTCAATAATAACCGGGCCCAATGGAAAGTAGAGAGCATTTAAGCCCAAAACAATTCAATAAGTTTTGAATATTCAAATTTGAAAATTTAAACAATATATATGAAAAAAATATAAAATATATTATTTAAAAAAAAAAAGTAGACACTTATTTTGGGATACACGAAAAAGAAAAACATGAATATATTTCTTTAACCAAAAACCATTTCAAAAGATTGCTCATTTTATCCTCAAATATTTGCAATATAATCCTAAGATTGCTCATTTTATCCTTAAACATTTCCAATATCATCCTAATAATATGTTAATGGGAACCTAAGAAATAACACAAAAGGTTTAACAAAAATTATAAATAGAGAAGGTACCGATTACATCAATAATTTATGCTCTAAGCTGCTGGTTGAATCCATCCACAAAATGGATGACGCATATGAGAGGAAGGTATTTTTAATGGTTCAAAATAACGATTTCCCAAATTATACATCCCAAAATCTTCTGCAAAGACATCATCAATGAAATAAATAGTGTTTTGCCTATATTCAGGATTGTCAAGGCTGACCGAGACAAGCTTAGAATCACAATGAGCCAAGAAGAGGGCTTGATCACCCAAATTACTCACCTCTTCCCAATTACCATTGCTCCAATCCAACTTGAAAATCTCAAACAATTCGGTTTTGCCTCTTTCAAAGTCAAACCTCCTCACAACCATCATTGTTACTCCTCCACAAGAGGAAGACGACTCAACCAAGTATCTATATGAAGTATTACCACCAATATCCACCGATACTACCTCCTCCTCGTAAGAATTACTGTCAATATCGAACAAGAGACGTCGAAGCACACCAATATCATCAACTGCATAGAAGTGACCCTTGTAGAAGACGGCTTCTTCAAATCTGTTGGTGGAATTAGTAAAGAAAGGCGACCACTTTTTGTTGCGTAGTCTATAAAAAGCCATGTCATGTGTGGAGACTATATACACAGATGATGCAATTGGGATCAGTAGCACTGCATGATGCGACGAATCTAAGTTCTCCGGTCTTGCACGGTGGCCATGGATGTGATGGAAGCTCGACTAGGACTCTTATATAGGGATTGAAAAGATGTACTACTGTTCATGTTTGAGAGGTTTTATACAATTCTGATGATGGTGGAACAATTTTTCCTTTGAGGTGAAGGTGAAGCAGTAGTAGCCATCCACGGTAAGACGAGATGCATGGGGTTGAAGTTGAACCAGAAGTTGAACCAAAAGGAAGGAACATGTTGGGGATGCCGAAATCAAACTGCTTCATTTTTTTGGTCGACCCATATTCTTTTGATAAGATGATGCTGTTAGAAGTACATTGAAGTTGTAATGGAGGAACTTCATGGTTATTACCACATAGCTTCCGAGCTGCAGCAGACCGCCACGAATGGCAGACACGGTGACAACAGATGAGATAAGAAAAGTCCGTGAGACGTTCCAAGATCAAGTCCAGCAATTCTTCTGGGGGGTCGGACCAAGTTGAACACTCTTCTTTTTCAACGGTTACGGTTGGGTCATTTAGCAATTCTTTTCGGCCGCAAGTAAACATTAAAGCCCATCTTCCAGCTGCGGCTGGACTATGCCTAATGCGTATTGGCTGAGCCGTATCTTGTGCTGGTTGGGACCGAGAGAAAGAGGGGAAGAATTTACTTAATAAGTATTAGGAAGAGAGATGAACATGTCCTATTTTTATATATAAAAGATGCGTGCCCATTAAGAATTGGACTTGGAGCAGGTAGAGGAACAAAGGAAATACAAATTCTTTCCGAGAGGATATAGGTTGTCCAGATTGGAAGAATACCATAACCCACCATACGCTAATAAAAAAAACCACTCCCTGGTTTTAGCCCCAAAATTTTTTTAATGTACAGAGGTTCCATTAGGAAAAACAGCAAACAGAAGAAACAGAAGGAACTTATTGCTTTAATAAATTCAAAATATAGTAAAACATAATAATAATAACCATTATTATGATAATTCTTATTGCAACATACTTTATTTATTTACACAGTCACACACACGAAAGTTTGATCCCTAGCCTCCCTTTGGGAGGTAGGAACTGGTATTCACACGCATGTCTCTACCAAAGTTTGATCCCTGGCCTCCATACACGTCTCTACCAAAGTTTGATCCCTGACCTCCTTTGGAAGGTAGGGACTGGTATTGCTAGATCACTAATTTATTGGTTTTCCCTTTAATTCATAATAAATAATATATATATTAACTCATTTGGCCCCCAAATTTTTTTTTTTCTAGCTCCGCCCCTGACCGTACTTGAATACCAAGCTGCTAAGGTTCTGGAATTGGCTGGAAATGCTGATTGAGCATCGAGATCACCGGTTGTTGAATCGCCGGAACATGTGACGTTTGTACTGCAACGTTTCCCCCATTCCCCAGTCCCTTCATTGCCCTTCATACCACCTCAGCAACGCTCCTCTCTCTCTGGCGACTCCAATGGCCGCCATGTATGTTTGTGTGTGTGTGTGTGTGTACACATACGCCCTTGCTATTGGTTTGGAGATTTGGGGTTTGTTGAGGTGTTTCCATAGATCGATCAGTGGGGCAGTAGAAGGCCGAGAGACGAGATAGAATGGATAAAGGGGAAGAGAGAGAGAGGAGAGGTGGCGCAAAGCCAAAAATTTAAGGTTGTGGGGGCGGATTTGAAAAAATTTAAGGTTCTGTGTGACAAAAATTTTAAAAAATTTATAAATCAAATATAATATTTATATTTTTAAATACTAGTCATAATATATATATATATATTTTAAGTAAATTCAAAATGAGAAAAATGCAACTTAGAAAAAAATAATAATCTGATGTTAGAATGAAAATTATGGAGAAGAAACGTAAAGAAATAAGTAGTGTTAGAGAATCAAATTTTCTTTATCAATTGTTTCAGTTTTTCAAAAATCTAATTTTTGGAAGACGAAAATTATGTAATTTGATTTCACTTAGAAAATATATATCTAGATGAAATATTAGAAAAACATAATGAATTTTAAATTTAAAAAAATTATTTTAAATTCAACAAGATTATTATATATTGAGTTATTAAACGAGATATAAATAGTTTAAATTTTGTAATTTAGAAAGTTATAACTAAAATTTTTAGCATATATATTATTATTATTATTATTAGTATTATTATTATGATTGAGAGTCTCACAATACTTTAGTTTATCTTCTTTTCAAATATTACTAGGACTTGCCAATAAGATTGTTATATAATTTTAGATATTTTTCTTATAAATACCATTTTACAAAAAAGTTTGACAAAAAATGGTATTAGCATGCATTTTTAACATTAGTTATTTTATTCATTTTTTCTCTCTCTTGAATTAATATTATAGATCGATATTGTACTATATATAAATAAAATAGACTATAATAACTATTTGCCAAAAAAAAATTGACTATAATAATAATGAGCTTAAATTTTTGTTTCATAATACTTGAATTTTTAGAAGTATAGTTAAAAGAGTGCAAGTTGAAAAAAAATTAAATTTCAAGGAGAGACAAACTAATTTTATTTTCAAACTCTTTATTTTGGGTCAATATATGTGTTTTGAAAAGAAAAAAAATGGAGGGCCAGTTCAAAATTTTAATAAATAATCTACAAATTAATTAATGTTTAGGGGTTGTTAATAGAATTTTCAAAAAAAAACTTGGCTGATCATATATATGTTAAAAAAAAAAAAAAAAAAAAAAAAACAAATTTGGGGGGTGGGGGTGGGGTGGGGTGGGGGATAATATTTAGGTATTGTATTTCTTCACAATACAAACCATATAAAAGAAGAGACACTCCATAATGCTAAGATGTCTCTATTGTATTTCTTTGATATATTTGATCCAATTGCTCATTTTATCCACAAATAATCCTAATAATATGTTAATGTGATCATAATAACTAACAAGGCAACCAACACATCAATGCTATATGTCCTATACTGCCGATTGAAACCATCCACAAAATGGAAGATCCTTATCATAGGAAGACAACTTTAATGGTTGAATCTTATAATTTTCCAAGTTACACAAACCATAATCCTTCTTGTTGGTATGTGCAAAGCGATCATCAACAAAATAGATGGTGTTCGTCATATATTTAAGCTTGTCAATGTTGACCGTGACAAGCCTAGAATCGTTATGAGCCAAGAAAAGGGCTTGATCACCCAAGATGCTCACCTCCTCCCATTTTCCATTACTCCAATCCAGCTTGAAAATCTCAAACGAGTTGGTTTCCATTGCCTTATGAAACCTCCACACTTCCCTCCTCACAACCATCATCAGTTCTGAAGATGACGATTCAACCAAGTATCTATGTGAATTACTACCACCACTATGGACCGAAACCACCTCCACTTTGAAAGAATTACAGTCAAAATTGAACAAGAGACGTAAAAGCACGCCATAACGATCAATTGTAGAAGTGACCCTTGTAGAGGATGGCTTCAACAAAACTAGTGTTGGGATTATAAAAAAGAGGTGACCACTTTCTGTCTCGTAATCTGTAAAAAGAAAAGGTGGCTGAGAAAACATTGTATATATATATATATATATGATGCAATTGGGATCAGAAGCACTGCATGATGTGATGAATGTAAGTCGTTGACACATATGCATTGGCCGTAGAGGTGGTGGCTGAAGCCTGACTAGGATTCCTGAATAGGGATTGAAAAGATGTTGTATTATTTTTCACGAGGAGAAGAAAATTGGGACACTGTAATTTTTGTGGTTTTAGGATCACCCATCAGAAACATTTTTATGGTGGTGTTCTGAAACTGGTACAAGTGTCTTTGAGATAAATAAGTAGTAGCCATCCATGGGAAGAGGACACATATGGGGTTGGACCAAAAGGAAACGTGAAGGGTATGCCGAATTTAAACTCCTCCTTGGTGGTTGAGAATACTTTCCAGAATCTTCCCCGCCATAATTTTCTTTTAAGGTGATGGTTCTAGATGTACATGCATAGGAGTAGTAGTAGTGGAGGAACTTCACGATTATTGCCACGTAGGTTCCAAGCTGCAGCAGATCGCCACGAATGGCAAACATGGTGACATCGGATGAGATCAGACAAGTCCGAGAGATGCTCCAATATCAAGACCAACAATTCTTATGGCAGATCGGACCAAGAATACTCTACTTTTTTAGCCATTGAAGTAATCAACCTTAGGTCATTGAGCAATCCTTCTATGAAACCCAAGGAAGATTGTTTAGCCATTGAATACTAGAAGAAGAAGAAGAAGAAGAAGAAGAAGAAGAAGATTAAGGCCAATCTAACTACGCATCTCAGCTGGATCCACCTGCATGCATCCAGAACATTTAAGTGTAAGTTACAAATCAAACAAATGCGAAACAAAAATAAGATGATTCTCAGACAGTAAATTAACTTACTGACTAATGTGAAACAAAAGCAACCAATAAACATATTTATGTAGGTCTCATATGGTTATTTAGTTAATCAAAGCTTAATAATAACATTAATTAGACAAGCATGCACAAAATAAATCATTTCAACAATATTAATATAGTACATTGTTTTAAACAAAAGGCTAATACAATGAGCATAATCTGCCTGTCTCCTAGCTGAAACATAATTACCTATATTCAGTTGTTGGCTAAGCTAATTTAGTTATATACTGCATGAAGGTATAATATTTTGTGCTGGACGAGTATTTACTGTTTCGATGTTATTTGTTTAAGTATTATTTTGGGTTTAAAAATATGGTACGAGCTATATATAAACTTTTAAATTATATGTTTTGATATGTCTTTGCAGTTCAAAGCAAATCAGAGCATGGAAGAGGCCCAACTTGTCTCGGCAATTAGAATATCTTAATTCCTAGCTCCCTCAGGCCTTTGACAGTGTCCCAAGCAAGCCATTACGTAAGTTAAGGATAAACTTCGGATTAAGAAGGAAAGAAAAAGTGCAA